CTTTTCCGTCCAATTCCTCCAAATGTCCGTTGAAGTCTCCCATTATAAGTATTTCGGCTTCCTGATCCCATGCGCCTGGCATCTTCCTGAATGCATGCGACTAGCTGCGAGTTTTCCTCGTGTCTGGTTCCCTCCACAGCCATGTATACCACGCATACATTCACTCGTATTCGCACAATCTCCCCGGTTATCCAGAGATGATCTGTGCACGTAATATCTTGCCTTGTATGCCATGCGGAGCCAACATGCCACAAAAAACCAACGCCCCCACCTTTTCGTTCTCCTCCGTCCCGGTTACAACCCGCCCAGCACCATATAGGGTGAATCGGAGGCTCCTCTAAACCGCGTAGATGCATTTCTGCAACTGCAAAGAGGGAAATGCTTTCGATTTCTAGCATCTCGTATAGTTCTTCCCATTTTGCTTGTCGCCGTGCACCCTGAAGGTTGAGAAAACCGCCCACCACCAGAGCAGGCATATTCCGCTTATGTCGTCAACGCTTCTTGCGAACTGTGTTCCCTTCGTGTACCAGTATTAACGAGTATTGATTCCGATTCCTATCGTTGGTCCACCCGGTCGTATCACCTCCTAATCCCTGTGCCGGAACCGCTGTCCCATCATCCTTTGGCTGCCCATGCCGTACTGTCCGTGCAGGTGATACAGCCATGGGTGTAGCATGTCCGGATATTGGGGTGTTGGTGTCTGAGATGGCGGCTGCATCTGGTTCACCGGTGTCGGCAGGATGTGAGAGTAAGGATATGTTGTGTACCCTACCATGACAGGAGTTACTAGGAGCTCCTGATGGTGGTGATTCTCCTGGGACCGCAGGTCGGTCATTAGATAGACTTGGTACTGCCGCGTCCTCCTGTTCGGGTCGTGCACTGGGTCCAACCGTGGGAAGTTCCTCTGGTAGTCTCGACAAATCCGAATGTCGTTGGCGTGCGGTACCTGCATACCTCCCGTTTCCTGGTGCACTCTGTGTGGTTCCATGATAGGGGAAGTAGCACATGGTCTTCCATATCCGCTTCCTGGTGTGTCGGCAATCTGCTTCTTTGCTGTCGAGGACCATTTGTTCGGGTCTCTCTTGGTTTTCGAAGGAACTTTCTTCCATCGCACCCCTAAAAAACGGCGTGCTATAGCTCCTAGTCTGTCTGTCACCATGCGTATACCTTCTTTTTGGTAGTGTAGTCCATTCCTCTCCACTGCGTCTTCACCTCTCAGGTCTCGGCTTAGATCGACGAACCTGGCCTTGATGTCCATGCACATCTTTTTTAACTTTGCATTTAGAAGCATGGTTGTTGGTTGAATTCCCTTGCCTCTGCTCTTGATTTCTGAAATTGAGCAGACGACTAGTGCATCCTTGCGGTTAGTCCACTTCAGTCTCAGGCGTTCCGCAATCGCATCGGGTTGAGCGCCCTGTAGTATATCATTCACCCCCACATGTAAGATATACATTCGGGGTACGTTACGCGACTTTTCTTCATGTACATGATCAATTAGTTGATGTACCACTTCTGTTGTTCCACTTCTGCTGAGTATAACTTCCATAGATCGAGAGTCCCCTACTAGATCAGCGAGCGGGGGCGCAAATCGGGCAACGTTACTATCACCGGCCACGATGACTTCCCGCTTCACTTCTTGTGGAGGTCGGATCTGTTCTCTGGAAATTTCTTGCTGCGGCTGTCGCTCTCTTGTTTTTGCAGGATAGTGGATGTCGTATGCCTGATTGGATCCAGCTATCACTGCGCCAGGAGCTTCCCGGCTGCCTGCGACCTCGTGCACCAAGTTTTGCTCGCGCTGACTGGAGACCGGGTCTCCGCTGTGCGGACTCCCTACAGGCCAACTACTCGCTTGTGTTCCAGTCACGTGGACTGGACATTGAATCTTTGGGCTCGGGCCCCGGATAATCACTCTTTTCTTGCTTTCTTCCATTGTCTCCTGTGTCATGCTCGCTGTTCTTTTCACAACTCACCACATTTATATTAAGACCGATTCCATCTTGAGGGCTGTTCAAAGTTTGCTTTTCCAGCTCTTCAACGCGCTGTTCTAATTCTGTCACTCGGTCCTGAAGTTTTCGGATCATGTAGGTTTCATTTGGCTTGCCTTGGCGGGTTGCGTCCTGTAACCTTTGGATAACCTCGTTCACGCTCTTTTCCAGTTCGTCCATCCTTGTCCTATGTGACCTGCCCATCTCATCTATGGTTTTGCATATGCTGCAGACGAAATCAGAATTTTGAGCCTCTTCAGGGGTTTTAAAGTCAGCCTCTGAGATGTAGGCCCACCGTCCACACCTGTCACAACTAATGAGGGGTTCCTCTTTCTTCGCAACTTTCCGCTCATACATTTGTGAATCTTGCTCGGTGTTAGCGTCATCCAGTCCACGCCGGGTCATCCCGGTCATCTGCCATACTCAGGTAAGTGGGAGAGGTTCGTCCTGAATCCCAGTGGAGGTGGACATTAACTCTGGGGGTGTTAAAACCGCTCCCTCACAGTCACTGAGCATACCGGCACCAGCTCTGCCTTCGGGAAGAGCAGGCAGGGGTTCAACCGGCATTACTGCATCTGCGTTTCGCTCGCCGTCGCTGTCCCGTGATGTTTCCTCTTACTGCATAGTGGTAAGAAGAGAGTTGGATACTTCCGCGGCGGCTCGCAGTCGCTCTACCAGTTCGCTTTTAGATCCAAAGGTGGAAAGTCCCCTCGCTTTTAGCTCCTGTTTAAGATCTGCGACCTTCATCTTCGTCGCCATCTGCATCCGCCCTCTTACGACGGATGGGGTAACTAACCACATTTTATGTTTTGTTTTTATTGTTTTGCTTTTCAAAATGGCGGCCCCTATGGCATTTTGTTCACCCGCTTCTCGCGTCCGCTTGCGTTGCGTTTTCGCTATGTTGTGACGTGCGCACCGCTGGACGACAGTCACAGGTAATTTATTGACACAAGAGTTATTTCAAGCAGGCAAATGATTATTTTCGCTCTACATAGTACAATTTATACGAAAACGTTACAAACTGCACATGCAATGATGCGGTTGCTGACGGGTTTTAGCGAACGGACACGGTAGTACAAACAGTTTGAACGTTAGCCTTCAAGTATATGTGCATAAAAATGATAAACCTAAGATCAATAGACATACTCTAAACAGGTAGAGGTAAAGTCGCGGCAGAGGTATTTCAAAACAGCTATTCATAAACCATGCAAAAAAAAAAACAAAAAAAAAACTGCACAGACGCGACAGTTTTACATAACGAGTGTGATTACAAACCCGTTGCTTTAACAGTAACTACAGGCTAATGTGGAAAAGAATAAAGTTGTGTTTGGAGGTGCATTTGACCTGCCCGTCCTTCCCCCCCCCCCCCCCCCACACACACACACACACAAGATGAATGTTCAACACACCTGGGGGCTATGTTCGACAAATATTTCGTTTCTCCTAAAAAGAAACGGAAGTAATTGAAGTGATGATATGGCCTCTGATCGGTTAGAGGCTCAAATGATGGAAGTTCCCTCTTTCGTCATTTGAGCCTTTAACCAATCAGACGCAATATCGTCACTTCCATCTCTTCCGTTTCTTCTTAGGAGAAGCAAGAGATTTGTCGAACATTGCCTCCCTGGTCAGTTTTCTATGAGATATGTTGGATCAAGCTAGTCAATTTCTTCAGCACAATGTTTAGCTCTTAGGTTCGATGATAGCACGCCTTTACAACTCTCCGTCTCCTTATCTGCCTAACGGGGCTACTGGCCCTTTGATAGAAATATCACCTATCATCGACAAACTGTAAGCACCTAGAATGCCACTTTCTGACTGCAGCATCACCATCGAATATTGTCGTCCATGGAAGCAACCTCCTGGCTGAGCATTCTTCACTCGTCGCCCTCGCCAACCTCACCTAATCCCTTTACAGCTGATAACTGGTGATGTACACCCGCGGGCAATATGAAGGTGAACACCTTACCTGGATTCTTACCTGTTTTACGGCTCCCTATAGCTATATTAACTCTCAACGTCTCAAATGGTACGTGGCTTGGGGTCTAAACTTTGCGTTCTAGCCCTCTTCTGGAACAGAGCTTGTTCCAAAACTTTCCGGAGCGTCAAAAACAAAAAGACAGCTGTTCACCTTCATATCGCTCACAGGTGTACCTTCAAACTTCGGCTCACGCCCCACCTGCCCCTGGTGTTCCCGGTCTGTGTTCGACAATGTCGCCACTCTCCAATGCAACGTTTGTGATTTTTGATTCCACTAGAAATTCGAAGATGTATCTCTCGCTTTGTATAGACGCCTCTCCTCATTATCAACCGAGTGGCTCTATGCAACGTGCCAGCTCCCACCCCTGGCCAATGACCCCTTTCCACCCCTAAGCAGCACAGAGCCCCTGTGTACCCCACCATCATCGCCAGATCTACCAAGTAGTTCTCCGACCCGCCTCCGGCGAGCGACAACATCGGCAGCGTTCACCGTTAGCACGACAACTCCGCGTTTTTCATAGTTGTCGTGCGAAAAGTGCGCGATCGGAGTCTACAGACTCCAATCACGTTTGGCTTTCCAACGTTTGCTTCCTAAATAATAGCCTTCCTGACTTTAAAGCACTGAAGTAATCTTTCCCGAATACAATATTCGCTGCGTGCGAGACATGGCTGGACGCCTGTCTTCGGTTTGTAATTAATGGGCAATTAATCTCGCACAGTTCTCTTTATTCCAGCAAAATCGTCCCTCATTGGGGCGAAGGCGTCCGTCCTCGCCATGCCAAAACACCTGCCCTGCCAACGTCTCGACTACCTCACCCCTCCGGGTCTAGAAGCAATCTTTGTCGAGGTATTTTGCAAACATGGAAAGCTTCTTCTGGTGTCTACCTACTGCCCACCCTCCCCCCATGAACGATCGTACGCCCTCCCCCAAGAGAGCCTACAGCGCGTCGACCCCAGCAAGTTCTCTGCACTGTTCATCTGATTCACTCGAAGACATGCTGTTAGACGTATTGAAAACTGCTGGCCTCACCCCACTTAATGACGCCTCATTCTACATTTTTCAAAATAGTAACGCTACAAGGAGAAGGTGAAGAAGAAAAGGAAGACAACATGATTTTAGTGTCTCTTGGACTTTTACTTTGTGCTGTGGGTATTCTCAAGCTCCACCGTCTCTCACCCATCGTTACAAAACAAGATGATTACCCGGCTCATCCCCACGCCACGTCGTTCGTCCAGATCTCCGCCACTGCCCGTGCTCGGGACTCACTGGGCCGCTGGCTGAGTGCTAGGCCTAAGGGTATGCCGACCCACACCCGTATCCGCCAGTCGCAGTTTTTGCTACTGCTTCTCCTTGCCGGCGATATATCGTCGAACCCCGGCCCACGTCCCAGTTGTCCCCGCTGTGACCGAGCCGTCTACGACAGCGTCGCTGCTTTGCAGTGTGACGGGTGTAATGCGTGGGTGCACCGCAAGTGTGAACTACTTTCCCTTCGATCGTACAGACGACTGTCGATAACATCCGAAGAGTTGCGGTGTGGCGCCTGTCAACTCCCGGCATTCGACGACAGCGTATTTCTGACGCCCGCTCCTCGGCGCTGCACCTCTACCACCAGTCCTACGGCCCTCAACCCTGTGTCTACCGTACCGCAGATTACGTCAACAAAAAGAAACTGAGTTACGGGTTTCAGTTGAGCCAGTTGGTGCATGTTACTTGGACTGGGGCCAGCTGAAATTAGAGGAGAGATGAAGCGTGAGAAACAGGGACAGAAAAAGACATAGACACTCCGCTGGACTACCAACTACGGTTTTAATTCTTCTTTTTCTTTTTCTTTCCTCCCGTGATCCTCTGCTGCTTTTGTTTTCGAAATTCTTGCTTTCTTATCTTTTTCTTCTTCTTTCCGTTTTCGTTTCTGGAGCTCAATGTTTAAAGGACATTTGGACGCCTGCGGGGCGGAAAGCACCGCAAAAATTGCTTCTCTTTGGTGCTAAGCTTGATGGATGGCTCGCTGACGCATGTCGCTTGGTTCCCCTCTATGGCCATGGTCTCTATCATTTCCCGAGCATACGTGTTTTTGTTTCTTGCTATGATGGTAATATTGTTGAGCTCTGCACTGCATCTGCACGAGCGGCAGTGCGCTGGTAGATGGCCTGCCGTTGTTCCTTTAACCGATGCTGCATGCTCTCTCATCCTTTCGTTTACGCATCTGCCCGTCTGGCCGATATAACATTTTCCACATGATAGGGGAATATGGTAAACGACCCCGGTCTCGCATGGGGCATACTGTGTCTTGTGCGAAACATTGCAGATTTGTTTTTTCTGGTTGGTGTCTTCATTTACTTTTCTGCACATGGAGTATGCTTTGTTTGGGGCAGAGCACACGACCCTTATGTCCTGCCTTGCGGCTATCTTCTTTAGTTTGTGTGTTATTCCATGGACATAAGGTAATACTGCGATTTTCTGTTTTTCTTTTGCCTTCGTAGTTTCTTCTGGATGAGTTGACCTCCGCCTGAGTTTTGTGCAGATGTTCTCGCATACGCATATCAATAGGTCATTTGGATACCCAGATTCACGTAATCGGGAAATTTGTTTTTGAAAACTCGCCTCTATTGCGTGATGACATGATTTGTTCGGAGCCGTTGCAAGGGCGGTGATGGCAACACTTCGCTTGATGGTCTTAGAATGTTCAGATGCAAATGGCAAAAACCCTTTGTTCGACCTGGGTTCATATCTCCAGCATACATGTCCCTCATTAAATTCCAGTTTCAGATCTAAAAACTTGATGCACCTATTTGTTGCTGGCTCGTGTGTGAAGCATAATTTCGGGCATCTTTCCCCGAAGCATCTCAACACCGTGTCTATGCATCCTTTGCTTTGATCTTCTTCCTTTTCTTTGGTGTGAAGAATTAGGAAATCGTCAACATACCTGAAGATGGCAAGGATTCTTTTGTCTTGTAATTTTTCTTGGATGATTCTGTCTCGTGCTGCAAGAAACAAGTCGCACAATAGTGGGGCCACACGAGAGCCAATACACACCCCACTTCTTTGTACAAAGTGTTGTTCTTGGTGTGCAACAACTGTAGCTGTCAGGTACGCGCTGAGCAGCTCTAGGAAGGTGTCCACGTTTATGCCCGCCGCGTTTTGGAAAGATGTACAGCCTTGCTCTTCTATGGTGCGTCTGAGAATCACCATGAGGTCTGCATGCGGTATAGAATAGTACATGTATTGTATGTCGATTGAAAATCCTGATGTTATTTCGGATCCCCTTTGCTGAAGGTATGAAATCACTTCCTCTGAATTTCGGATCATGTATGGGTCATTGCACTGTATTAACGACATTTGCCTTGATAGGAAGGTTGAAAGATGTGCTTGCCAGGTTCTCCTTTCTGACACAATGGCACGAAACGGCACGCCTTCTTTATGCGTCTTGGCTGAGAAAAAAAACTTCTAAAAATCCTTCCTTTGTTCCCTTGATCTTCGTGTGCAGGCTGGTTAGTTGGTTATCTTGCAGCAATCTCATGATGACCTGTTTAGCAACCTTGCCTTGTTTTTTTATCAATTTGGATAAAGTTCTTGGCCAAAGCTTGAGACGCCTTTCCACCATATGCTCCCGATCCTAAAACCACGAAGCCACCTTCCTTGTCTGAGATGCAAAGTTTCAGGTCCTTCTCTCGTAGCTCTTGAATGGTGGATTGGAAGCTCGTACGTGGAATTTCCTGCTTCCGATGGCTTATCAGGCAATCCACTCCTTCACTGATTACTTGCGAGGCCTTTTCATCATAAGTTTTAGATGCGATGTTTCGCACCATGGCTAGCTTGTCCACTGTCTCAAGCTTAGGAGGTAAGGCATATTTTGGGCCTTTTTCTAACACTTCCCTGGTCTTTTCTGATATGTCGACGTCTCCCATGACTTGGACAGGCCATCCTTTGGGATTGTTTTGGTTGCGTCTTGCCAGATGGTGTTTCAGGATCGGTGAAAACCACTCTTTCCAGATGGTTTCTGTAGAGTGCCTAGTCATTGTGAGAAAATTCTTGAAGGCATTCTGGTTTTCACATCGGGATCGCAGGAAGTCTGTGAGCATTCGTTGTTGGCGCCACGTTTCCGACCTCAAAATCTTAGATACTGGCATGCCGTGGCCTTGGGACGGCGTGATAATGCCGAATGGTTGCTGGACGTAGTCAAGAAGGATTTTCTTTTTGATGGCGCGCGACAACATCCTGCCTTGGCAAGTGGCGTTGGCGATCATGAGACAGAGGGTCTGCGGTTCGAGAGAATGAAGATTTACAAAAGGTGCGCTCACATAACTAGAAAGAAACTGAGTTACGGGTTTCAGTTGAGCCAGTTGGTGCATGTTACTTGGACTGGGGCCAGCTGAACTTAGAGGAGAGATGAAGCGTGAGAAACAGGGACAGAAAAAGACATAGACACTCCGCTGGACTACCAACTAGGGTTTTAATTCTTCTTTTTCTTTTTCTTTCCTCCCGTGATCCTCTGCTGCTTTTGTTTTCGAAATTCTTGCTTTCTTATCTTTTTCTTCTTCTTTCCGTTTTCGTTTCTGGAGCTCAATGTTTAAAGGACATTTGGACGCCTGCGGGGCGGAAAGCAAAACGCGGCGGGCATAAACGTGGACACCTTCCTAGAGCTGCTCAGCGCGTACCTGACAGCTACAGTTGTTGCACACCAAGAACAACACTTTGTACAAAGAAGTGGGGTGTGTATTGGCTCTCGTGTGGCCCCACTACTGTGCGACTTGTTCCTTGCAACACGAGACAGAATCATCCAAGAAAAATTACAAGACAAAAGAATCCTTGCCATCTTCAGGTATGTTGACGATTTCCTAATTCTTCACACCAAAGCAAAGGAAGAAGATCAAAGCAAAGGATGCATAGACACGGTGTTGAGATGCTTCGGGGAAAGTTGCCCGAAATTATGCTTCACACACGAGCCAGCAACAAATAGGTGCATCAAGTTTTTAGATCTGAAACTGGAATTTAATGAGGGACATGTATGCTGGAGATATGAACCCAGGTCGAACAAAGGGTTTTTGCCATTTGCATCTGAACATTCTAAGACCATCAAGCGAAGTGTTGCCATCACCGCCCTTGCAACGGCTCTGAACAAATCATGTCATCACGCAATAGAGGCGAGTTTTCAAAAACAAATTTCCCGATTACGTGAATCTGGGTATCCAAATGACCTATTGATATGCGTATGCGAGAACATCTGCACAAAACTCAGGCGGAGGTCAACTCATCCAGAAGAAACTACGAAGGCAAAAGAAAAACAGAAAATCGCAGTATTACCTTATGTCCATGGAATAACGCACAAACTAAAGAAGATAGCCGCAAGGCAGGACATAAGGGTCGTGTGCTCTGCCCCAAACAAAACATACTCCATGTGCAGAAAAGTAAATGAAGACACCAACCAGAAAAAACAAATCTGCAATGTTTCGCACAAGACACAGTATGCCCCATGCGAGACCGGGGTCGTTTACCATATTCCCCTATCATGTGGAAAATGTTATATCGGCCAGACGGGCAGATGCGTAAACGAAAGGATGAGAGAGCATGCAGCATCGGTTAAAGGAACAACGGCAGGCCATCTACCAGCGCACTGCCGCTCGTGCAGATGCAGTGCAGAGCTCAACAATATTACCATCATAGCAAGAAACAAAAACACGTATGCTCGGGAAATGATAGAGACCATGGCCATAGAGGGGAACCAAGCGACATGCGTCAGCGAGCCATCCATCAAGCTTAGCACCAAAGAGAAGCAATTTTTGCGGTGCTTTCCGCCCCGCAGGCGTCCAAATGTCCTTTAAACATTGAGCTCCAGAAACGAAAACGGAAAGAAGAAGAAAAAGATAAGAAAGCAAGAATTTCGAAAACAAAAGCAGCAGAGGATCACGGGAGGAAAGAAAAAGAAAAAGAAGAATTAAAACCCTAGTTGGTAGTCCAGCGGAGTGTCTATGTCTTTTTTTGTCCCTGTTTCTCACGCTTCATCTCTCCTCTAAGTTCAGCTGGCCCCAGTCCAAGTACGTCAACAACGTCGAGGCCCAACGCTCGTCGCACAAGCAAAACGACATTACCTATTTGGTTCTCTAACCTAAGGTCAGTGAAAAACAAACTACCAGACTTCCGAGTGTTAACTGAGTCTCAACCGGACACCATATTCGCGGCGTGTGAAACGTGGTTGGACTGCTCTGTCTATGACAGCCAGCTTGTGGACTTGGCCCACTTCAAAATCTTCAGGAAAGATCGGAACAAATCTGGAGGTGGAGTACTGCTCGCTGTTCCTTCACATTTCAAATGCACTAGACGACTCGACCTGGAACAACATGGCCTGGAGGCAGTATTCGTAGATCTCCACAGAAAAGGTGGTTTACTACACCTGTGTGTTGTCTACTGCCCACCTGGCAACAAAGTAGAAGCCTATGATTACCTGCACAAGTCGCTAACTGCACTTTTACACCTGGACAAACGGTATGCAAACATATGTGTCGTTGGGGACTATAATGCACATGTCAACTGGTCCGACCCCACCACTCCAGTGCCTGCTGACCCGCAAGATGACCTCCTTCTTAACGGAATGGAATCTCTTGGGTTGACTCAAATGTGCCTCGAACCAAGCTACACACCCAACGGGAAACGTGACTCGTTCCTTGACCTTATCTTCGTATCAAACCCCACACTTATCGCAAATTGCTTTGCAGAAACCAGCCTAGCCGGCTGCGATCACAGGGCCATCGTGACGGAAACCTATATGAACTTCCCGAAATCAGGCATTCATAGCAAACAACTAAAACGCTTTGCTGAGATCGACCTCAAGCACCTCAACTCGCTTCTCCACCTCGCTCCGTGGGGAATGGTTTTCCAGGAAGACAACACCGAAAATGCCTACAATCTTTGGCTGGATTTTATGCATGCCATCGAGACGGAGTGCGTCCCAGCAGTCTGGAGGAGGAACAAAAGCCGTGCCCCCTGGATCACGAAAGAAATCTTGCACCTAGCCCGCCAAAAACGTCAGCTGTTTGCCAGAGCCAAGAACAACAGATGCGCCGCTACGCTCAGCGCTGCCCATGCTGCACAAAGAGGCCTGAAGAAGATGATCCGGAAGTCTCACCAGAACTATGCCCTCAGTGTTGCAGAACGTGCCTTCAAAGAACCGAAGGTGTTTTGGGCATATGTAAGAAAACACAAAAGGAGTACACATGCATTGGACATCTGCCAAAATGGCAAAGCCCTCAGCGATACTGAGGCCGCAGAACTTTTGAGCAGGCATTTCGCTTCAGTCTGGACACCACCTCTACCAGATCAACAGCTCCAACTTTGCCCAGTCTCGGATACTCCAGCTGACAAAGTCCAACTCGCTCTGACCACAATCTCTATCAGCACATCTGACGTGGAAGAAGCCCTAACTCGGCTGAAACCATCGCAGTCGCCTGGTCCAGATGGCATCCACCCTGCGCTTCTGAAAGCGAGCAGCAAACTCATTTCATCTATACTGGTACGTCTGTTCCAGCAAAGTCTGGACACTGGAAGGGTCCCAAGCACATGGAAAATGGCGTATATTACGCCTGTGTACAAGGGAAATGGAGCTCCAGCTCACAAGCTGGAATCGTATCGGCCCATCTCTACCACGTCGGTGGTCTGCCGTACAATGGAACGAGTCATGAACCAGGCAATACACAAGCACCTCGAGAGCCATGCCTTGCTCTCGCCGGCGCAGCATGGCTTTCGTCCCGGTAGAAGTTGTGAAACCGCCCTCCCCACAGTAGTACACAGGATCAGCGACAGTCTCGATAGCGCAGTGCCGTGCGAACTCGTACAGCTGGACTTTACAAAAGCCTTCGACAAAGTTGACCACACCCTTTTGCGGAAGAAACTTGTGCGTGCCGGCTTTCAGGATCAAATTCTAGTTTGGCTATCAGACTTCATCTTCAGCAGACAACAGCGTGTATACCACAACGGCACCCCCTCACAACCCCAATCTGTCATATCTGGAATCCCACAAGGCAGTGTTCTTGGCCCGACACTTTTCTCCTTGTACATCAACGATCTTATTCCCCATATAAGCTCAACTCCTGTACTGTATGCTGATGACCTCACACTTGTTAAACCGATTAAGTCAACCAAAGATTATGATGACCTTCAGCAGGACCTTGACAGGGTACACATATGGACCACCGTAAACAAACTACCCTTTAGCGCCTCTAAATCTAAATCGGTGTACTTCACAACCCAGAAGAAGGTGCCATGCCCCCTTCCCCTCTTGAGGATCAACGACGAAGTTATCAACCGCAGTGACAACATCAAGATACTTGGAGTGACTCTGGACACCCGATTAACCTTCTCAAACCATGTTCATTTCATTGCATCGCGTTCCCGCCGTCTGCTGGGGTTCATACAAAATATCAGCAGGGGCCTAGGACCCATCGTGATGGCGAAACTATACACCGCCCTTGTTCTGCCCATCCTAGAATATTGTTCACCCATCTGGTCCCCTCGATCCACGTCAACACAAGACATTCTGGAGCGGATCCAGCGGAAAGCCGCATACGGGGTCTACGCCCGGAGTTCCCCGATCCCTCGTCTCCAACCAAGCGACATTTCGACGAGCCAGTTACTCAGAACCTCAGGATGGACAAGCCTCGCTACCAGGAGAGACATGGCCACCCTGAGACTTTTAGCAACCATCATTGGGCCAGGGATACCCCAAGATGATTACCTGATCACAGTCCCACGCAGGAACCACCGTACCGGTCATCTGGAGCCCCTGCTCGCAAGAACTGAGCGCCACGCGAACTCATGCCTCGTCCGCGCTGTACAACTATGGCGTTCATTGCCACCAAGAATTGTCAGCATGCCCATGACTGACAAACCGGAAATACTGGAACTTTGTCGCGAGGCTGGAGCACACCTGCGATCACACGCATAACCCTGCCCCATCCTTCACGGTGCATCACTGCCCCGCCCTTCATTATACCTCACTGTTCATTAATCACTAACATAATCACCCTCTCTAGACGGGCCTCACAGGCATTATTGTACGGGCTACACGCCTTTCTGTGACGCCTGCGTTCACGAGCGCAAATAAATACCAATACCAATACCAATACCAATACATTCCTCGACCTCGTCCGCACTGATAATCCCACCTTATCCTACCGCTGCACAGTCAAACCCAGCCTACCAGGCAGTGATCGCAGTGCCCTCCTCACCAATATCCATTGCTCAGCCCCTAAGCGAGGTCATCGAGCCAAGAAGTTCCAGCAGTTCTACAAAACCGATTCCCCTCATCTCAATCAGCTCATCCACCTCGCTCCCTGGTTCATCGTGTTTGATCACCCACCGGCTGACGAGGCCGACGACCTCTCGCTCAACATATCAGCAATTCAGCACAAATGTGTTCACCCTAAGGATCAACAGGAGGCACGGCCATACCTCGGCGAACCTCACTCATGAGGGCCCTTACTCACCCTCACTCACCCTCATCTTCACAGGTGAGGTGAGGGTGAATGAGTTTCTGAACCAGGAAAATTCATGAGTGTGAGGGTGAGTGAGGGCCGTGAGGGCGGTGAGGGCGGTGAGGGCCGTGAGGGCGGTGAGGGCCGTGAGGGCTATGAGGGCCATGAGGGCGGTGAGGGCGGTAAGGGGTATGAGGGCCATGAGTGCGTGAGGGGCGTGAGGGCGGTGAGTGGCGTGAGGGCCATGAGTGCGTGAGTGGTGTGAGGGCGGTGAGTGCGTGAGGGGTGTGGGGGCCATGAGTGCATGAGGGCAGTGAGTGGCATGAGAGGCGTGAGGGCCGTGAGGGCGGTGAGTGCATGAGGTGGTGTGAGGGCCATGAGTGCGTGAGGGTGGTGAGTGCGTGAGGCCCCCTTCAGATCGGGCGTCTTTCTCCGCAATTTCGGTGGTAATGGCGGGTTGTTCTCTAGCTTTCCCTAGATCGACACGAATTGCTGAGATCGGGTCCGGCTCGAAATAAGCAAGCAACTCGAAGCAATTCGAATGCGTTTGAAGCGGCTGCATCCAATCAGGGACGCAAAAATTTTCATGTGATACCTCGTGCCGGTGATGATGACACCGAAAGACTTGGTTCTGGTTTGAAATCCATCGTTTTTTTGGAAATAAACTGTTTCAGAAAGGTGCATTAGTATTCTTAACGAGATTTAAATGCATAAAAACACGTTTATAACGCGTAATTGTGTCTAAATAGTGCAAGAAAAATAAAATTTTATGATGACGATGGAAAATTGCAGCAATTGGTTGCTGCGTGTAATCGCGGGCGGCCCGTGTTGCTCGTGTTGCGACGTAAAGTTTCTGCCCCATCTGAAGCTGGTCTGAGTGGCGTGAGGGCCATCAGTGCGTGAGGGGCGTGAGGGGTGTGAGGGCCGCAAGGGCGGTGAGGCGCGTGAGGGCGGTGAGTGGCGTGAGGGCGGTGAGTGTCGTGAGGGCGGTGAGTGGCGTGAAGGCGGTGAGTGGCGTGAGGGCCGTGAGGGCCGTGAGGGCGGTGAGGGCTATGAGTGCGTGAGGGCCGTGAGGGCGGTGAGGGCCGTGAGGGCGGTGAGGGCGGTGAGGGGCGTGAGGGCGGTGAGGGCCGTGAGGGCGGTGAGTGGCGTGAGGGCGGTGAGTGGCGTGAGGGCCGTGAGGGCGGTGAGGGCCGTGAGGGCCGTGAGGGCCGTGAGGTTCAGTGAGGGTGAGTGAAGGGCTGAAGGTGAGTGTGACTGTGAGGGTGAGGGTGAGTGAGGGGCTGAAGGTGAGTGTAGCTGTGAGGGTGAAGGTGAGTGAGGGGCTTAGGTGAGTGTGGCTGTGAGGGTGAGGGTAAGTGAGGGCAACCTAAAATGCCGACCTCTGGGCACGGCAGCCTTCCATGGATGACAAAGGAGATTGCAGTCTTAATCAGACGTAAACACTCGCTATTCAAAAAAGCGCCTCTAAATCCCGCTCATCTCAACCAAGCCCACCAGGCACGTACCGAAGTCAACCATCTCATCCATATCTCCCATAACGATTACCTACAGCAACTAGGAGCAAAAGCAACCTGCCAGTCCAAACTCTTGGGCATGTTTTCACTATAAAAGCAAATGTTCCATGCGCTGGTCTTCACACATCACGGCACGCCCTATTTTAACATTGACGACATAGCAGAGCTCTTCTCTTACCACTTTTCTCAGGCTGCAGCATTACTTGACCCTACCGCACCTAACCTTTGTCCCACCCAACCCACAACTCTGGCAGTCATACGGCCACACCAGCAACCACACTCTCTTCCATAGCCATTCTTCAAAGTGAAACCTACGAAGCCCTTGCCTGTGTCAACTCCTCTCAACGCCCTGTACCAGACAGCCTCCACCTTGCATTGCTTAAATCCCGTGCTGGCCGTATCTCCCCCGTCCTCACTCGCCTCTTCAACGATTTTCTCTCCCACAGCTCTGTTCTTAAATCGTGGAAAGTTGCGTCAGTAACGCCTCTCAAAAAGGGACATGGTGCCCCCTCAAGTCTAACATCCACTCATACTGACCAATCTTCATAACCTCCATCGTTTGCCAAACAATGGAGCTGCGAATCGGCCCTTGCAGCTTTCACCCATGCACTCAGCACCAGCCTCGACAACCGAACTCCGTGCGAGATCGTCCAGTTAGACTTCAGAAAGGCTTTTAACAACGCAGACCACAGCTTGCTCCCATCCAAACTCCAACCTATGGAAATCTCCAGAATGAGGAATTAAAAATTTACTTTTTCACAACACTACCTTATTCTTCAAGGGCTCTTTTCGTGATTTAGCACAAACTGGAAACACTACTAACAGGTAGGGTGTTCACTGAGCTAGGTTATGTGTGCCATTGCGTGTCAAAGGGGCTTTGAGAAAACTAATTGAAGAACATTTTGTCCAAGCTCAAGAGAAAAAAATCTTGTTCTTGACCACTGGCTAACACAACATGATGGCAGCAACTGGTTAGTTGTTTTCTTCCGGTGACTTCAGAACGAGGTCACTGGCACGACAACCGGCTGTGATTGTCGTGCTGTTGGGAACAGTTCCAGTATTCAGGAGCTTGAAGGAGCTTGAAGTTCCAATTGCCAGAACTGCTCCACAGCTTGCAGGCCAAATGCTGAGACCACTCGTACAAAGCAGGGCTCGATCTAAGTCGTCCTCACAGTTCGCAACCTGGTTCGCAGCTTGCAACTGCATAAGGGTTTTTTCTCAAGTGTCTCATAGATGCCGGAAGCTACTATGCGTCAGCGGTATCTCAGAAAATCCTTTTCAGACTAATGACTTGAAAGGGGTTTTCAAGACAGCCCTCCCTAAGACAGATCGTGATGAGGAAGAGCTAGAGCCCTCCCAGCCACTGTTTTTACCCAGATATGCAGAACTGCC